GCATTCTCACCATTTCTTTACTTCTTGTGAAAACCGCCTTATTTATCTGTCAAAAAGAAACTCGGCTGCGCCATTTTTCGTTCATTTCGACTTCTCACTTTTCCTGTCCTCTTTCTCAAGAAATGAGGATGGCAATTCACTCAAACCTGCATCTTGTGCAACCTTTGCATCATCACATTGCACAACGATTCGTTTCTTCACAAAATTACTGCGTTTACTCACAAAAAGGAAATTTTTTTTGCTAGTTTTGTAGGAAATGCTAGTTTTGTAAGAATTTGATCATACAATCATTTCAGGCAGTTAGTTTTATCGAAAAAATACAGATCCATTTCTACCTTCATTATTTTAAAAAAAATTTGACCCGTATCTTTGTTGGCATGGTGCGCTGAACAAAAAGCGATTTATATTGCGTCTTTCTGCTGAAAAGTTGAAATGCATTCTCTGCTGACCACAAACCTGGCAGATCAGACAATTGCAGATTCAACGCGCAGTGTAGCTGATAAAGCTTAGGCGCAAATGGGAAGTTTCTTTTTTTTTCTATTCTTAGTCTGTCTGAGTTTTGGAAAATCCAGTGAAACAGATCAATAAAAATTACGGACGTATTCAACGGCCAACTTCTAATATGCTTTCTTGTTGGAACGAATTAGCCCCTCATATCACAAAAACTAAGGACTGGGACAATATCGCGTTCACTCGCCCCAGTGGTCCATTGGTAAAGAAAAATACTCATTACTTTCGTAAACTCATTTATCATCTAAATAGCAATCCTCTTGGCATCAAAATCTTTCAAAACACTCGTTTCGTACCCCCTCTCATCTCATAAAGTAAAAGTGGCCTAGCTCGATAGCTTGGGCCTGCCTTCAAAAAAAAAAGCCTTTGAAAGAGGCTACGGTAGACTAAGTATTGCTTGAAATCATTCTATACACGCCGAAACAAGTAGTGCCAAACCATCTAGAAAGCTTTACAGTGTGGCCTAAAGCTCTATCTTAACATATGAACTACACACAAGTTCATTATTTGTAACAATTTGGGTACCTTGCAATACTTTAGTTTTAGACACTCTTTAGGATGTCAACACAAAAAAAAATAATATACGAGCTAATTTGTGCAACCAGTTGTCTTTGCGTTTATAGTCTCAGGATCTGTTTTGAGGTGCGAAATCCTCGCCTAACGACTGTTTCGAGGTAAACTTTTCCAGGGGTAATCGCTCTGCGTAAGAGGGCAAAAGCTCCTTCAACATGGATGAATGTTCATGAAGCATTTTACTGCCACTCTGTCAGCACTACTCAATAGTCCGGGTTTGTAATCTAAGATTTTGTTACCATCAGACAGTGTGCCAAGGAAGCCGAAATAAGTACTCACTTAAGAGAATTCTTGGAATGATTACTATTTACTATCTGAAAATAAAAAAAACGCATTTCGAAACTCCATTTGATTCTATCACCATTTGAAGTCGTGATCATCTTATATATAAAGCTGAATGTCTGTTTGTATGTATGTATGTCTGTCTGTACGTATGTTCCGAATAGAAAATTCCATTTCTGAACCGATCCGGACCAAACTTGGCACACATACACTTCGGGCCCCGGCGGGTGTCATAGGCTACTTTTCGTCATCGATCGATATCGATTTTATCGATTTTTATCGATTTTTTTGCTGAGTTCACCTACGGGGCTGGGAGTTGGCACAGGGGGGTAATCGAGCATGGGGATTCCGAATACAATATTGGTTTTCAGGATTATCGATTACTTTTATCGATTTTATCGATTTCTTTGCAAAGTTTGAGCTACGGGGCTGGGAGTTGGCACAGGGGGGTAATCGAGCATGGGGATTCCGAATACAATATTGGTTTTCAGGATTATCGATTAATTTTATCGATTTTATCGATTTTTTTGCAAAGTTTGAGCTACGGGGCTGGGAGTTGGCACAGGGGGGTAATCGAGCATGGGGATTCCGAATACAATATTGGTTTTCAGGATTATCGATTAATTTTATCGATTTTATCGATTTTTTTTGCAAAGTTTGAGCTAGGGGGCTGGGAGTTGGCACAGGAGGGTAATCGAGCATGCTGATCACTCCCAAGGGGGGTGATCAGCATGCTCGATTACACCCCTGTGCCAAATTCCAGCCCCCTAGCTCAAATTTTCAAAAAATCGATAAAATCGATAAAAGTAATGGACGATCCTGAAAACTAATATTGTGTTCGTAATCAGCATGCTCGATTACCCCCTGTGCAAACTCCCAGCCCCGCAGGTCAAACTTTACAAAAAAATCGATAAAATCGATAAAAGTAATGGACGATCCTGAAAACTAATATTGTGTTCGTAATCAGCATGCTCGATTACCCCCCTGTGCAAAATCCCAGCCTCGCATGTCAAAATTTACAAAAAATCGATAAAATCAATAAAAGTAATCGATAATTCTGAAAACTAATATTGTATTCGGAATCCCCATGCTCACTTCCCCCTGTGCCAACTCCTAGCCCTGTAGGTGAACTCTGCAAAAAAATCGATAAAAATCGGTAAAATCGACATCGATCGATAACGAAAAGTGGGCTGTGACACTCGCCGGGGCTCGAAGTGTATGTGTGCCAAGTTTGGTCCGGATACGGCGGAGCCGGGTAAGCCAGCTAGTTTTAGAATAAGCTGTATGACTTTGACATCGCAACAATCTTCCGTACATACATGTATATACAACAATCTTTTCGAAACGTTGCAAAGCATCGAGCTGACCATGCAAAAGATCGTGCACATTAAAAAAAAGAAAAGCTGCTGTTTTTTTGTTTGATTTGTCACTTCATCCGCTCAATTCTTTGAAAACCTTCGGAGGCGAAACCTATGTTTTACCTTCATCAAAAAAAAAGTGAAGAATACTGGCAATATCAACCTTTTTTTTCAGTACCGGCTATTACTTTGATTGAAACTACTGGTTTCATACATTTAGCCACCAATCCAAGACTATTCCTAGCTTTCCAAAAAAAAAGTAGCGGAATTATTACTTATTCGATCACTTTGCATTTGCGTCAGATTTAGCACAGGTGGATTTCAACCACCGCTCATCATCCACACAAAAAAAATTCTCTAGCCTATCATTAGAGAGGTATTTGAATTCAAGTACATTCAGCCGCAGTTCAAAAAAAATTCCCTTTTGAATACTTATCTTTGAGTCAACTCCAGTACTTTTCTAATTGCAAGACGATCGTGCGAGACAAAGGCCTGTATGAGTCTCACTTGCGCGACTAATACGTTCGCCACATTTTTAGACACGCAGGAGCGAGGCGAAGAAACAAAATGCAACTACTCGAAGGAGAGATTGTACAAAGACATTAATTTCTATTGCTTCCGACTTCATAACTTTCGAAAAGTTGTTCCATGCAAATTTTTGTCTTATTCGCCAATATCTCTCCATTGTGCCCATGTTGAGTGTGTTCACCATTGCACTACATACAGTTTTTTCATTCTAATCCGAGTTTCAGTCTACATTCAGATGTTCAGAGCATCTGAGGAAGACAGAAACTATCATTTACCAGTAGCAAACCTAATAATTCTCATTAATCTCATTAGCGCAGCGGCTACTGGTAAAGGGTAAGTTTGCCGCAAGCTTCGCACTATAACAAGAAAGACTTCTTCGATGGGCGGCTCGGAGAAGCCTTTCAGTCATCCAAAATTCCACGCCCTTGTGAGCAACGTTAGGGAAGTGTTTCCTCTTGAGTTGCCCACATGTTAGTTTCCGAAAAATTTCATGTTTTGGTTGCCTTCGATTTTTTCTGCGTGCTGTAACGACGAATCTTCGAAACATCAAAATTTTGAAGACTCTGTCACATTAGCGATTTTGATTTTCATTCAAAAATGTTTTTTGCATTTTTTCATGCATATTTACTTCTTCATTATTCCCAAACCCGTCACCACATATCAAAACTTTTAAACATATCCCAATTCATCTTTTAAGCTATAACGCTTCTACCATATCGTTATCCTTACCATCATTGCAGTACTCGTTCCTTCAACTCGGGTAGAGCCCACCCATCTACGCTGTATTGAATCATTATTATCGCCATGATTCCACCTTCGGAACAGTTGCGGAAGCCATACGCTTTGATAATTATCCAATTTGCAAATTTATTTTGCTCTTTATTCTCCAGCTCGAGACGAGCTCTTCTTTTGACAGGGCGTGCGAAAGCCGCTTTTTCCTATGAACCCTTTTCCCCCTGTCCACATGCATTCAAAGAGCAATAAGTGACTGAGCAATGATGCGATCAACAGCATTTTTCCTGCCCGCAGTCAGTGACAACAAATGGCAAATGGGCAACCCTGATGACGATAATGGTAGCAGCAGCACTCTTCTGCTCTCAAACGAAACAGTGGTAAAACAAATGGTACATGGGCAGCACTTTGATGACGATAATGGTAACAACACCCTCTTGCACTCAAACGAATCAGTGATGAAGCAAATGGTAATGGGCACTTCGACGACGACAATGGTATTCCTCTGCCAAGCTATGAAAGCTCGGGACGAGCTTTACTATGGAATGGACATGTCGAGACGCAGACTAAGAGATGGTCCGACAGTCCTCACCCCAACTGGGCGGTGCCCAGCAACTCCAGATGAGCTGTGCCGAACCGGGTGACCGGCGGCTTCCCTTCCCCTCTTTTACCTTACATATATATAATAAAGATTCTAGTCATAAATGTTATGTTCATACAAAGTAAGACAATCAGGGTGAAGGATTCAAGTCAGGAGAGTGCACCACCTGGACTTGACAAGGGGCAAAATGGTCGATTTTTCAAACTTTCTGGGAAAAATTTTTTTGCAGGTGGTCCTTCAAAAAGTCTCCATAACAGCCCCAGGAGACCTCTATATAACTACAGCATCTGGGTTCTCCAGCTCTCATCATGCCTAAGATAATACTGCACAAATAGGCCACTATTCGCGACGACCTTTTTCCCTATTGCGCATGCTAGTGGACCGCAGTGAGGTGCTGAGAAGGCAGAAAGACAAATATGAGGACCGGTAACGGCAGAGTGGGCGATCGCATCCGCGCGGCGGCGGCAGCGCGGTTCGCGCTAGGACCCACGCGGATTACGGTACATCCCGCTCCGAGTGTCCGCCGAAGCACTGAATTCATTTCTCTTTCTATCTGTTTGTTTTCTCTCCTATACTCGGATGGCCGCTATTTTGGATTGCCCACTCTTCCGTTACGGGTCCTCCGGTCGTATTCACCGCGCAGAAACGGATTCTCGGTTCTCGGTCGCGCTTCTCAGCCTGCGCATTTAAATTGGTTTCTCCCTGCAGGTCACTTTGAAGTCATTTTGTTTTTTGTTGTCAATGCTATCTTTCCACCACTTCTTCATAAACATTCTCAATCATACAGACCTTGAAAGTAGTCCTTTTTCATCATCTCCATTCTATATACTTACAGATATAACACCGTCGATGCTCAGTACAAAGAAGATCGCGAAAGACTGCGCGGGGAACGTGGTAACGAAGAGCAAGGTATAAGTGACATGCTCTTAACTAAACTCTTATATAACTATCTTGATTTTGTGAAGATTTGCCGGGCGTCGTACCGATATCTTCGGTGTTGGTGCTGCTGGAGCAGAACCAACGGTAATCGGAAGAAAATTGGGAGAGGAAGCTCCGCAGCCTAAAAAGGTTAGTACAATCTGGATTTTCATTAAACCTTGATGCCTGTTAGGGAAATATGAGTTCTTGGACCATTTAGCATCAGGTTTTCATGGCACATTCTTGTAGCCTCTTCTCCCCTCAAGAGTTCTGTTTATTTTCCCTTTGCGTGATTTAGTATTTGGATTTCCAGAAACTTATTTAGGGTGGATCTAAAGAGACTCGTGAAGCACATACTCTTGCCGTACAAAGCCAAGTCATGCTTGGTGAGTTTACTGGTTTCTTACTGGCTCTGTTAGTTTTTCACAGTAAGTTGTACAAAAAAACTTTTTCTGTTGGTTGATTGTATTTTGTTCAAAGCAAATTTTGCATTCTTTTTTGGGTTTTTGTTTGGGACACGATTTAGAACAACAAATCCACGAGATAGGCCGACCGCAGAACGACGTTTCATAATAAAGTTTTTCAGGTGTGCATATAACATCTCGTTTACCACGCTTGTGGCAACCAGCCAAACCGCAACGATATGTATTTTCTGGATTTCGGATTGCCGTCGCTTCAAACTCATGCGTGGGACGAACGAGCCGAAAAACTATGTAAAATTCGAAGTGGATCCTCGCATGTCAAAACGAGACATTTGCGATTACCTCGTCAAATTTTACAATTTACCAGTGAGGGATGTGTGAACTGAAAATAAAACGGAAGATACCTCGTGGAGTGCACGCGCTGATTCTCACTACAAGAAAGCAATGTGGAAGGATGTTGACAAGAAGTTCGTTTACGTTTTCATGAATAAAGGTTTTGAATTTATCATCCCTGATATATTCTCTGAGGATGAGGGGGAAATTGAACTGTAAAAGGTTAAAGAACAACAAGAACGGTTGACGGCGAATAGCAAATTTACAATCGTGATAGAAATAACGTTGGTGAGTTCTTTGGAGTGTAAATTTGTAAAATTGCTCATCTAGGCTGTTGAAGAAAGCACAGCTTTGCTAGTTGTCAATTGTTTCTTAATTTCAAATTCTAAATCATTTGGAGCACCGGTATAGCAAATATTATTTGGAGTGTCCATCTGCCAGATTTTGATAATTCCTTGCTGTATTTTTGACAGTGCAGTAGATTTTGTAGATGAAATGCTAAGCTATCTACAACGAAGGATCTATTGAAAATCCTTTTTTACCAATAAATCATATTGATGTCTCAGATCAATTTACATCTACGTAGAAGCTGTTCAATACAAACTTGCTACAAAATACTATCCAGGCAAACAAATTCGGTACGAACAGATACATGGCCATACAACACATAATCTACAATTTAGATTCATTTGTTTTTGCCTCCTCTTTCCTTGATCTGCAAAATAACGAATGACTGGTTCTTCATGTTGTAGAAGGCCAAAGAGAAGTTGTCTTTCAGGGAGAAACCCTGAAATGGTAAAACTAGTTGAAACAAACTCAAATCTCCTTAATATTCGGCCAGTTTGATTTCATACCAGATCAAAAACCAGTGGACGAATTAGGAATTTACAACAAAGAAGTATGGGTGTACTCACATCGAAGATAAGCTTCTGCTTTCTTGTTGGCATGCTGAGCTTATCCTGAAGTTGCTGCTTGAGGTCCGATACCTGCAAAAACTTTGATAAGGATGCTCTGAGGCATTTTTAAATGCAAAGTTCCACAATGATTGTAAAATACAACTCTAACAAGAGTTGTCAACAGAGCAACTGTAAAAAATAAGTCCAACGATTTCACAAAAACCGAAGTAGACTCACCTGTGAGGAAACATCGATCTGTAATCCGATGATCGATCCATCCATGTCAAACTCTGCACTTACAGGTAGTTGTATGCGCAAGTTAATCGCACCATTACCTGAGAATATGAAGCGATCAGTACAAAGAAAACGCGCAAAGTATGATCCATAGTCCACTGATTTGCAAAATTACAAAGTAGATGAAAATTCAAATGATAAGCGATTTCTACCTTCTTCAACCTTTCAGCCTCCGGCTCCAGCTCATCTTCTGTTCTTTGACGTTTTGGCGGAGGAGCCTCAGGTTGCTACAGCGAGTATTTTATAACCAACTCTAGTTTTATTCAATACAATACCGAAGTTGTGGGGTAAGCATGGCACCACAACCTGCTGGTCGCCTGTGCGGGCATGCCGCTGCCAGGGCACTGGTATGCCCGTTTGCGCCATGGCAAAAGCTACTGATAATGGCATCAGCCCTGCAGCGCTAGAAGGATATGTCGTCATGGGCAGTAGCAACAGCAGCTGCAGCGGCGGCGGCAGTGCGTTGTTGCTGTGCAACTGGTTGTGCCCCTATGCGTTCTTTCTACGCATCGGGTAGGAAGCTTTGTTAACGATGAAGTCGTGGATTTGCTGTTCTAAATCGTGTCCCAAAGAAAAATTCAAAAAAGAATGCAAAATTTGCTTTGAACAAAATACAATCAACCAACAGAAAAAGTTTTTTTTGTACAACTTACTGTGAAAAACTAACAGAGCCAGTAAGAAACCAGTAAACTCACCAATCGTGACTTGGCTTTGTACGGCAAGAGTATGTGCTTCACGAGTCTCTTTAGATCCACCCCAAATAAGTTTCTGGAAATCCAAATACTAAATCACGCAAAGGGAAAATAAACAGAACTCTTGAGGGGAGAAGAGGCTACAAGAATGTGCCATGAAAACCTGATGCTAAATGGTCCAAGAACTCATATTTCCCTAACAGGCATCAAGGTTTAATGAAAATCCAGATTGTACTAACCTTTTTAGGCTGCGGAGCTTCCTCTCCCAATTTTCTTCCGATTACCGTTGGTTCTGCTCCAGCAGCACCAACACCGAAGATATCGGTACGACGCCCGGCAAATCTTCACAAAATCAAGATAGTTATATAAGAGTTTAGTTAAGAGCATGTCACTTATACCTTGCTCTTCGTTACCACGTTCCCCGCGCAGTCTTTCGCGATCTTCTTTGTACTGAGCATCGACGGTGTTATATCTGTAAGTATATAGAATGGAGATGATGAAAAAGGACTACTTTCAAGGTCTGTATGATTGAGAATGTTTATGAAGAAGTGGTGGAAAGATAGCATTGACAACAAAAAACAAAATGACTTCAAAGTGACCTGCAGGGAGAAACCAATTTAAATGCGCAGGCTGAGAAGCGCGACCGAGAACCGAGAATCCGTTTCTGCGCGGTGAATACGACCGGAGGACCCGTAACGGAAGAGTGGGCAATCCAAAATAGCGGCCATCCGAGTATAGGAGAGAAAACAAACAGATAGAAAGAGAAATGAATTCAGTGCTTCGGCGGACACTCGGAGCGGGATGTACCGTAATCCGCGTGGGTCCTAGCGCGAACCGCGCTGCCGCCGCCGCGCGGATGCGATCGCCCACTCTGCCGTTACCGGTCCTCGACAAATATATGTTGTGGACAAAATTGTCTTTGCAATGAAGTTTGTAGCTTCAAAAAAGAATCAATCTGCTTGAAGTTACAGCGATATGAAAAAAGTTTTTGCAACTGCCCGGGAACTTTCTTTACAACCTAATACAATGCTGCAGCGGTACTATTCCAGAATACACAACCCAAAAATGAAAAATCTTGGATTTCGCTAAGGGGCCGGACATACTTCATGCGATTTCACTCGCGACGCGATTTGACAATATTCCAACTGTCCATAACTCACTGTAAGCACATTTTAAAGGTACGAAAAATAGGGTATTTTATCAATCCATGTAAGTTATACATGCTATGCATGTGCAGTTCGCTAGTGTTGGATCTGAAGACTTCTGGCGAATTGCCAAATGGCGGCTGAAATCGCGCGAAGTATGCTCGGCCCTTAAGACTTCGTACATAGGGATTAGATGACATGCTGATCACGAAAATGATATTCATTTCGCATGTTTGAGCTTTTCTGTGGGATTACGGTGGGCATACGGTATATGGCCAAAATCTCAGATCTTGCTGCAACTCTGCAGAGAAGAGTTATTCGACTGCTGATCACGATTATCACGTTATCCGCATGAAAATGTCTCCCTGTATGGTTACGGTAAGTGTACCAGGGGTCAAATCCATAGATTTGGCTGGAATCTGGGCTAGAGGAGTTGTTCGACATGCTGAGCATGAATATCATATCAAATTCGCAAGGCAGCGCCATTTTCTTGGGTTAAATGGGTACACGTTAGTTAGGTTAAGTCGCAAATTTGCTTAAAACTTGACCTAGTGGGGTTTTCAAGTATGCTGATTACGAATATCATGCTCGCTCACTGCAATAACGCCTTAATGTGGAGTTACGATAATCTGCAGCGTATAAATAGAGGACATTTCTGTTTTCAGACCAATTTGCATCCCAAAATTCCAAGAAATGACTCTATTATCCGAGATGAGCGCAATATTCGTTATCAGCACATCAGATAACCCCCTTGCACAAAGTCTCAGGCAAGTTTATGATTTTCACCCCCCCCCCCCCCGAGAATGGGTCGCGAAATTTTTGGTCATAAAGATGTGTAAGTGACTTGTTTATACTTGTAAATAATTGAAATAATTTTTGAAAATTTTTTGAAAAATCAAATTAGCCTTGTAAAAAATTTTTTCGGGGGCGCGTGATCAGCATGTCGAATAACCCCTCTCTGCAGAGTTTCAGCAAGATCTGAAATTTTGGCCATATACCATGTGCCTACCGTAACCCCACAAAAGAGGCCAAACCATGCGAAATCAATATCATTTTCGTAATCAGCATGTCAAATAATCCCTATGTACGAAGTCTTAAGGGCCGGGCATACTTCGCGCGATTTGCAATTCGCCAGAAGTCTTCAGATCCAACACTAGCGAACTGCACATGCATAGCATGTATAACTTGATTGATAAAACGCCCTATTTTCCGTACCTTTGAAATGTGCTTACAGTGAGTTAGGGACAGTTGGAATATTGCCAAATCGCGTCGCGAGTGAAATCGCGTGAAGTATGCCCGGCCCTTTAGGAAAATCCAAGATTTTTGAGATCATTGATTACAATTATCACATAAAGGGTGAAGTTCTCGATTATATTGATGTAAGAGATCTAGGGTTTTTAGTTAATAGTCGGCTGGATTTCGATAAACATTGCGAAACTGTTGCAGCTAAAGGAATTTCGGCAGTATATAATCTGTTTAGACCCTTTCCACAACTAATGTGGACATCCTCATGAGGGCATATAAGGTTTATATAAGACCTTTATTGGAGTATGGAACGGTAATCTTCAATCCAACGAAGCGGAGAACTGTACAAGTGCTAGAAAGAGTACAAAACTCCTTTACAAGGAAATTGTTGATTAGAACCAAAGGTCTCAAATATGAACTTTTACCCAACGGAAAGGATCGAAAGAAGATCTTAGGAATGGTCAGCCTATCCAATAGAAGAAGAAAGTTTGATCTTATCATGGCTCACAAAATTTTATTCGGAGACTGCCAACTCAATCCCACCAATTTCTTTGAGACTAGAAGTTCTATTACTAGAGGGGGACCTTAAAAAATGGTAATACCAAGAGCAGGGAGGAATGTGAGAGGGAGATTCTTTACAAATAGAGTTAGCGGCGATCTAGATAAATTGATGAGAAAGGGTATGCTCCCTTTCAAATTGTCTCAGTTCAAAATAGTGCTTGAGAACTATCTTCTTTCACCATAGTTCCTTCATACGATTGATAGGCCTTTCTGATTTGTCGTGTTGATTTGTGTAATTTGATCTAATTTGTTGTGTTGATTTGTGTTGTTGATTAGACTTCGTGTTCAGTTGAATGTAATATGCATAGGAATTTCCTACGCAATAAATAATAAATAAAATAATTTTTCATTTTTAGGTTGTGTATTCTGGATTAGCCCCGAAATTTCTACTATAATGCAACAGCATGCTGAGGTTGCTCCGCACCATCGCAGCAGCAGACTGTAGCTTTCCACAACGGTGCAACAACAAGTCGAGGTTGCTCGCTTCAATGTTGCAGCAGATTGTTACTTTTTTACAAAGCAACAACGGTTGAGGTTGCTGCGCATCAAGGGTGCAGTGTATTGTTTCGTTGTACAATAATGTAAAATGTTGATGTTGCTATACAACAATCGCAGCAATCGGACGTCTTACGTAGTCAAATGAGTCACATTTCGCTCCAAATTGCTTGTCCTTTCTTAATTTGAATGGTGTCTCAAATACCATACTTGGCAATTAACTTGGACAATGCGCAACATCTCGGTTGATTATTCGAAAACGCTCTTTACATATAAACGATGGATTTCGTCAAAAACAGTATCTAACATCCATCAATCGCTTATTTGATTTCAACATATCTGTATATTTTGGCGTTATGCTCTAGACTTGAATCATGACTCGATTCAAAAGGAATGTTCGGAATGCTTTCTGGAAAAGAGCGTCTCTTGATTAATTCATAAAATCGTGTCTTTCTAAGTGTATTCTACATATCGTTTCCGACCTATTTCTCATCTACATTGCATGTTGCAAATACGACAACATGGGGGCGAAACTTTTTGGCTGCCCTCGATGTCAACAAATTGGCGCGACAAGGTCCATTGCTGCCCGTTGCAAATCTACCTATTAATAGGCTCAATCCTTCCAGATACTGCAGATAAAAAAGCATTATCTAAGTTCTGCACACGATACGTCATCACGTTCCTAAGCATTAGCTTATTGACGAGAGTGCAGCGCGCCACTATGACGTCGGTTCGCCATCCATCTTTGCACGGGAATGTCAAGCTACTCCATGTAGATGGAAGATGCAGTTTAGTCTTTTAGAAGTAAGCGCTACCGCCGTTGAATCTTCGAACGTATGGAGGGGCCATAGATTGCAAAGAACGCGCCGCGCGACCAAGCGCTTGCATCACTACAAATATCGTTCTTGTATGTACATATCGTGCTCCAGTGCATTGCAGCCGCGCGCACGTGCTCCGCAATGCACGGCCAGTCCCTACGATCAACGACTCGACAATACATATATCCAAAGAGCATCCCTATAGAATGCGCTGTGCGTTTTCGACATTCTGTGAGCGTACGGGAAGCAGAGACCTAAACCTTTTTGCGGCAGTCAGTGCAGCGTTATAAATAACTGCATAATCACCTGCGATCTACAGTTATTGTATAAACAGCAGTAAATTGCAGACTTATTTTATCGATCTGTGGGTTTCGGGCGCGCATGGCAGTCCTTTGCAAGTCTGTAAAGGGCGGCTTATGGTGCGCCCTCTGAAGTTTTGTTCGATCTCAAATGATCTTTCACCTTTTGAGTTTGATATTTCATATATTCCGTCCTGTTTAACCTAGGAGCATACAAGACTTCAAGCAAATTCGTTTTATAGGCATCTTCATGACTCTTATTGATTGTTTTGGTTCCAAAAACAAGTTTGATCTCGTTAGACAGCGTATTTAGCGTTTTAGAATCTCCAATTCGTGGATGGATAATAGATCTTCTTGGGTTATCAGTGCTCGGCCTCACCTCTCATTCAAGCATTGTCAAGCTTATGTTTTTATCTTCATCTTCAACATCTATATAAACGGAATCCGGTTTGTGATTTAGCACAGTCTCCTCCGCTTCACCTGCTGTGTTCTCATTTGAAGCCATCGACTTCAAGATTATGCGTTCGTTCACACAATTTATTGAGTTTTGGCCGTGGAGCATGACAGCTCGCGCATGCGAGTGGTCTTTCCTTGGTTTTTTTACCTTCCCATTTTTTTATGGTTGCGATGGATTTATTTGAGGTTTCTATATTGATAGTGAATGTCCAAATCACTATTTCCTCAAAAAATGTCTGGTTCAATGTCGGGGCGCAAACATAGTATCCAGGAGAGCAGTGTTTGTGGAGTTCGTTTAAAAAATTGTGACGATGGATTTTGCCGCAGGCTTTGCGACCACGGGGGCATAAAACGCTCATGCAAGAAGGCATCACCTCAACGTTTAGCTCAGTAACTTCCAGCGTCTAAATACTACCTACGTAAGCAGAAAACACCCAACTAGAAATGAAAACCAAGAAAACGCGATCTCCGGAAGTGGCGCTCGGTCGCACCATCGTTACGATTTTTCAAATGCCCTATATACTGCGCGTCGTAAAATTACTGTTCATGTGATCTAAACAGAAAATCGATAAGAGTTCTCTCTCCCCCCTCCCCCCAGCATAGTGATCTATTCTGCATTTGCACTAATTCTGTGGGGATCGTATGGAGGGTTTGCTATAATCAGACTTGCAACAGTTCTGCCTAAAGCAGCTTCGCGAACTCGCTTATCTAGTGGACCCGAGATGTTTCTCTTATCAGCGACATTTTCGTTGTTGAACTGGTCATCGGCCTGGGCAATAGAACTTTGAACCATACATTACCGAAAATCTCTCCTTTTGTCCCCTTTTGGCACACTTTCAAATTCAACTTGATTCCCGCGACTCACTGTAATGTTTACTTGACTAGTTTTCGCTCACATGTTGCAAAGACTGTCGAATCGGTACAGGCGATCAATCGTTTTGCGGCATTAGCATAGGCGATCAGCTGCCTGAGAAAAGCTCTTCGATTCATGAATTTGTTCGCAACTGCTATTGATTTCTTGTATTCTGTCTACAGGAAATTCAATCCTTTTTACAAGGTTTGCAGGATGTCGTGTGTGTGCTTGGTGTGTAGTCTGCTAATGCGAAAATGCTGTTCTGATGGAAATCCAACAGACTGATTTCAGGGAGTTTCCTGTTTTCCGCACATGTCATCGTTGTCGTCCGATATCTCCGGTATCGCTGATATTTCGTTTCGTAAAGAAAGCATCTGTGAAGAACCGACTCCCGTTGACAATGAAGTGTCCGAAATCATTGCTCAACATCGATCAAACGATCCAAACAGTACCCAGTATGTCTTTTCTTGGCTTTCGAAATTTTTTCATTCCTACTAAAGTTGCTCATCTTTAATTGGTTATGAGATTAGCAGATAATACGAATGCATAAAAGATGTGCTAACGACTTATTTCCTGTTCATCTTTGAATAGATCAATGGGATGTGAAAGTCATGAGTTGTTTGGTGAAACAAGCGTGTGACCTTGAACTCTCAAATTTCCCACTGGAAATATGCTTAGCACCATGGAATCATCATCAGTACATCTTTGCGATGTTTTTATCAGACTTGTGGAAATATAAATGGCATCAAAGGAGGGTGACTATCTTCCGCAGCACGCAAGGGGACCAGTCAACTTAGTGTTAATTTTAGTCTAGCGACTTTGTGCTCGAATTCATTATGCTTAGTCATTAGAGTAATAGGCCGTTTCTTATAACCTTATATATGGTGAGAGTGAATTATTAATCATCCTTTCGTTAAAAGTTCTAACTCAGTGGCTTGCAAGGGAATGGTCAGAAATCGAAGTGGCCAAACCAGAGAAGCTGCATACCATTAGATGCAGCATAAATCGCCCAATTCGACTCTGTATTCCATATTTGCTTAGCGCCTATGTGGACTTAGTTATGAGCCGTTAAAAGTCGTTATTCTGCTAAGAAATCTCGCATGCAAAGCGCAAGTTTGGCAGCACAAAGCCATGTTCGGCTCAGTGCTGTGCCAAAACATGTACCGTCTGCGCCCCACAGAGGTTCCCATGTGAACCTGGGTGCGTACGTGGTGCGACGCTGCTTTTCGCTCTTTTTGACACGTTTCTCCTGCGATTTCAACGGAAGTGTCCGAGGTTAACACGTTCAAATGTGCGAAAGGCAGCGAGATGACGTGGTACCTATGGGAACCTTGCTGGGGAGCAAACGATAGCTAGGTTACTTTGTATTCTTAAAGCTTAAAGGTGAGCTAAAATTGCAGCAATGTTCTCAGTTCACACTTTTTTATGTACGATTTTTTCGATATAAACGACTTATTACTTCGCTCACATAGGCGCGCAGATACTGAATACAGATTCGAAATGAGCTTTAAATGCTGCATAGAGTGGTAGGCAGCTTGATTGAATTGGTCACTTTCGACTTCTGACCATTTTGTTAGTCCAAACTCGGTCTCGGCTCAAATCGTTATATGTTCAGATCAGCAGAAATAGCTGCGGCCATTGCCCACTGCAAAGAGCGACTTAAAGAGCGCATGTCGGAAAGGAATTCGCCAATAAAGCAAATGTACCTTGACAAGCTAGTTCAGTTGAACCTTGAGAAGCAGAATTTGGAGGTTGGTCTGTGCATCTTTTCTTTTTGTATGTTCACTGTTTTTACTCTTACTCAGCCGTGCTTTTCATTGACTTATATGACTAAGTTCCCCATCTTTTTTTGTTACGATTCGCCTCATTTAGGAAAATTCTGGTGCGGCTGATGAGGTGGCCAAAGTTTGACTTATATGACTAAGTTCCCCATCTTTTTTTTGTTACGACTCGCCTCATTTAGGAAAATTCTGGTGCGGCTGATGAGGTGGCCAAAGTTCTAGGTCATGAGTTCCAGCTGCAGAAAACTCATGGACGGAGAAATCCCTATTGTGAAGTTTGTATGGGAACAATTTGGCGCATGGTTCAGTCGTGGCGGCGTTGCAAAGGTGAGTCTTTCCTCGTGTATCCTTTTTGTGCCATCCCCTCATTATTTCATACCCTATGCTTTTTTAGTTTGTGGGATTCGTGTTCACGATAAGTGTGCCAACGAGGTACGTCGAGTTTGTGCCGGAGTAGCGGCATCTCGACGTGACTTCCGATTGGCAACGACGATATGCGAGGAAAGAGGACTGTGTGCACAAAACTACGCATGTGCAGAATGTGAAGCGCCGCTTGCTTACGGTTTGTCAAGTTTCCAACCTGTATCTTTGATCGTTAGCTTAATAGAGTACATCGGTATTCTTTTTTTCCTTTTCCTCCTTTTCCTTCCATTTCTCGTCCGATTGGAATCCTATAGATGGACCTGTCAACCAACAGCCAAGACTTTGTGAATATACTGGTCTTTTGTTCTGCTCTCGCTGTCACTGGGCTGATCAGTGGTCTATCCCTGCGAGGTAAAATTGTTTTTCTCGAGTAATATTGTCTTGTTTTGTTCTTCTAGAATTATTCACAACATGGATGCAAGGCCGAGACCAGTTTGTCGAGCTGCTAAGCAGCTTCTAGCGATAATTGATAATCGACCTCTAATCGATTTGTCACAAGTGAATCCCTCTCTGATCAAGTATCACAAGGTTTTTTTTGTTCGTTCCTTATTCTCGACTTGCTTGAATGAGGATCCTTATAATTGCGTTTTCATGTTATAGGAACTAAAAAGAATACAACAATTACGGCGTAACTTTCTTCTCATGAAATGTTACTTTGTTAGCTGTCGCGTGAGTTTTTTTTTCTCTTTCTTCCTTTTCTGCACATCTCAGAGCTTTAAAACTTGCATATGCGGCATGCAAACTCCATCGTTTGCTTGTTGAATTTTTTTAATCTAAAATGAGTTCTGTCTTTATGTTGACATGGGATTCTCATTACACATGTAGGGGCTATTGCCAATCTAATTTTTTTCAGAAGGCAGCGAAATTGCGGATATTACAGTACCTGAGTAAGCATCAACACTTTGTCGAAGGAGCTGACATGTACTCCATAGCAGACGTATGGTTTTCTTGAATTATTTGTATCTTGCAGAGTTGGCGCTTAGCATGAGTTTTTAGCTGCGTGAGCTATGTTTGGGAAATCTGCTCCGTGATTTGGAAGACATTCATACTGTATTTCGGAGACATATCGAGGAAGTAAGCTGAAATTTTGCTTATTTGCACTCTAAGCATCTTGATTTGCCATTTTAGGAATGCGAAATATGCGCAGGAAATGGATTTTATTGTGAAATGTGTGATGATGAAGATAAGCGTGACCAGGTAAAGACTTGTTAGCGTGAGGTGAATTGTTTGAAAATCGCTTCCAGGTAATTTTTCCGTTCTCGGAAAATGTGGCAATGTGTCAAAAGTGTCTTGCTGTGTTCCATGCGAAATGCTTTGATAAACGGAGCAGCAAATGTCCCAGGTAAATTTTCGCTATTGCTTTTTTTTCTGGCCCAGGTTGAGTCCTAAGAAGGTTTTAAACTCTTGCACTGCATGAAAAGTAAAACATGCTTTAGATGCGAGAGGCGTCAGAGACGGAATTCTCAGCGATTTACAGATGATGAGTGAATTCTTGGAACTAAAGTTGGCTTTCACTTTCTATAGTCTTTTATGTAACTCATGCTACTTTGATTCATTTGCTTGTAGTGCTTTTCACGTAATTTATACTTGAGATTATATCATCTTGCAATATGAAAATAGTCAGAGCAAATTAACTCCGGAAGTGCTCACTCAAGTTTTATCGATTGTGCTGTAATCGTATTGTCCATCATGAATCCAACATACTATATTCGGGTCGTTATTTTGTACCTTGTGACTTCCTTTCCATTATCAGCTATCTGTAAATACGCGTAAATTAAATTGAGTACGAAGTTTTATCAATGCAAATGTGTCGACTAGTTGCCTTAAAATGAATGTTTTATTTCTATAAAATTGTCCATCTGTTATGTTTCCCAAACTACATCGACAAGCAGTTCACATGAAAAAAAACTATGGGGGAGCAAAGTCTATAGTCATTCGGAGGCAGTTCGAGGAAAGGACGGAGAACTTAGGTGAGAATCGAACTGGCAACTTATTTGTGTATCTAAGTTGACTTTTATAATGTTTGAGACTATGAAGACCACTACTATAGTTAGGAAATTTGATTTTGAGTGATAATGGTGTAGGGTAAATAAATATAATGTCGGGTAATAAATTCCAAGAACGGGTTTTTATACGAGCTGCGAACTAGCCCAGCTATACAGACACTCTCTCGTCTCTTCATCTTGACCGCTCTCTCTTCTCAGAGAGTGGCGTCACCAGTGTTCGTTCTCAACCCAGCTGTGCCAATTTACAGTCAACAGGTCATGTGGGTATTGTCCACCTTGCGCATGTCACTTAGAATTTTCTGGAAGTTCAAAATCTGTTCTTTTATAGATTTCTTGATTCTTTGTAGTTTACAAGATAATGATGTGATTATGCGCAAAGATATCGCGAACCAAATTGACTCAAAAAACTCGTTTCGTGTTCGTCGTGTATGTTTCGCTGACAAAGTGATCAATCGCTTTCTTTTTATGCGCAGCGGCCAGCGATGATTCTTACATCGATCATGATATCATGACTGTAAATGTGAAGCTAACAGATTCTCGCACCGGATCCTCTTTTTCCCCTTTTGAAAATTATTGGAGCGAATCATTCTCTCAAATCTCTGCATTTGCTTCGGAAAGGTTTTTACAAGCTCGGAAGTTGCGAAAATTGATGTATAGTGTGACTGTCACACTTCGTTATATTTCTTTAATTTTTCCTCCGGCGTACTTGTTTTCTGCGCAATTTTCAGTACTTTTCGGTCAGTGAAGTTCGATGGTTTACAACTGATTGATTCTTCAGTTATCTTGGGATGTTTCTTACCTCTAGAAAAAGGATATTTTTTGACTGTGGGGTAATGTTACTCTATAATATTACGATCAGTGAGCCGGAGGGTAGGAACAAAAATAAATCATAAACCACCGCCTAGCCTTGAGCTTACAGAAGTCTTAACGTAAAAGTTAGAATGAAGTTCTAGTGAAGCAAGTTAATTTCTACTGAAAAAAAATTCGTCGAAGGATTCATTTTTTCATCTCTCTTTTATCTATTAACCTTCTGATTAAGCGTTGGAGTACCAACATTTTTTTTTTCACAAAATTTGCTTTCAGCTATTTACAACAAAGAGTTAATTATCTCGCAGATACTGAAAAATAGTTCATAACAAATTTCTCGCTTGCTTCAGAATCTCTACTTAGCAAAACCTCTCAAGGTTATTGGTAATCGTTATGTATGATTTGCATCTATTACTATTTATAAGAGTGAAACAGATCAGAAAATGCTTTTGAGAAGCAATCACACATTCTAATCTGTATAAATCATTCTTATATGTATTTTTAGCATGGCTTACGAGTCTTATCCAGAAATTCCAAAAGTCATAGTTTTTCCCTACTTTCTACGAATCCATTCGGAGCGGAAAGGGATAAAGATCATGCATTCTTAGCAAAGCTTAAAAAACTTGAGGAGCGTAATATAATACATGAAGAATGCTTAGATAACTTTGTAAAATTCTGGTCGCTGAAATGCTAGAAGTCCAATAAAATTTATCTTCAGGGTTGATTACTATTACTTTCTGACTGAGATGAATTTGAATGAATGAGGTGAATTTTTAGAAACATTTGATCGATGTATCTATGAATTGATATGACTTTCGAGTTTTGTACTTTAGCGTAAGTTGTCAAAAACATCTCAAATATGCCCGGTTATAGGATATTTGTTATAAATTACAAAAAAATATTATAAGGTTAACAATCTAAACATTCAAAACGGTCTCAAATTCTGTGGTGCTTTGTGGACTAACTCGGTAATTGTAGTTTGCTTATAAGAAAAAGCGGTTGCATATCTAGTAAATTATTCATTAATTATGCTCTTTTGCTCCCCTAGTGCCTCGTTAGGAATAAGTGTACACTTACCGAAATTAACGTGCTGATCATGCAAAACCATATTTTTGGAAACCGTTGCGATGTTGCTTTTTAATCTCGTATTGACAAATGCATTGAATTCGCGTCTCGAGCAGAAATTATAGCTGAGAAGAAGTCTTTTTCATATTTCTTTTGATTGACTGGTGGAATAAGGGCTATTATACGAAACGCGGGAGAATGTCAGTCGTCTAATGGGCGAATGGTGGGAGCAAAAATAACTTCTAACCACTTTTGCCAAAATTTTAAGAGGCTGCCTGGCAGATAATGCTATGGAAGCTTCGATTTTGCTTATAAGGAGGGGGGGGGGGCAAAAGTGCTATCATGAAACTTGCCAAATTTTATCATGTTTCTTTTTAGCATTTAAAATATAGGACAAGTTTTCTCTGAACCACTTGAAGTGCTCAAATCCTTGAGTTTAATTTTCTAAAATTTATAAGAACTTCTGACGATTTTTGTCTTTTACGGGTTTCACGAAAAATTTGAATAGTAGAAGCCAACCATCTTTTGTCCTTTAATAACAACGTGTTGGAAAAATTGAGATGATTTTGGAATAGGAAATTTCAGAATAATAGATAGTGTTATGGGTAAGATTCTGTACGGTTCGGATGCTGGTGAGCTCCTTATGACGCTAGGAGATCTTTTTTCTCTCATCTCTCCTAACCATTTCTTTCACAATCCTTTTTTTTTAAATTGTTGGTCCACCAGGCCATTTTTAGACATCTAAAACATTTTCGTGCTGGTCACATAGCCATATCGATGTGTACTTCCGTCGGAAACGATATGTTTCTCAGTGCATTTGTGTCACACGGAAGTGACAGTTGACGCTCTCGACTTTGGTGACAACACAGTTCACTCCCATCTGAAATGCCGCTGCGCATCAAATCGAGTGCGAAAATAACCTTCAGTTGTTAATTCTCTCACATTTCCAGTTTTCATGTCTTTTTCCTGATTTTTTCCATAACGTTTTTCCACATTTGGCTTCCGAAATCTAGTAAAAATTCAGTTTTTGGGCGGTTACTTTTTCATATTTAGCCTTCGATGGTTTTTATGCTCTTTTTTATACAGAAAAAAAACGCGCCATTCTAGGAGTTTTTCAACTTTTTTTATCTGCGCGTGATCAAATAAACTTCGTCCATGATTTCTGTGTAAGGTACGAATTTTTACTTTGAAGTTGTTTCTATAGTATTCCAAATTTCTCAAAAAAAGGGGGGGGGTAAATGGATAAACTTCGCTTTGCTGTTTGTTTTACCTTTAGTTGTTGTAATTTTGTACAGTGGTTATCCTTTTGCCTAGATCTGCGTAAGATTTCGTGTAAGAAAGTCACGTAAACAAAAAATCGTACCCTTTGTCTTTTTTGAATAGCTGATTGCCAAAAATATCCACTGAAGTCTTCATCCTCCTGGAATACACTGTCCAAATTACGGCTTAAGATTCGTCGAAATTTACACCTTAGCTATTTTCTACTTCCTTATCTCAAAATTCCATCTCAAAAGTTAATTTCTGCGAAATTTAAGCCTATTTCTGTTCATCCGATCATTTTTGCTGTTTGCAATCACTTCCTGCTTTACTCTAATGGTGACTTCATCCTCTACAATTTCACACATCAAAATGTCGCACTCGTGTACTAAAATGAGTTGATGGGTAAGTGCTCTAGTGCACTCGAAGTCAAGTGTTGCCCAATAAATTGATTGCCGAAATTTTTGCACCGTTCCTTTTTTACTCGTAAAGTTAACTCAATCTGACGAAAATTAGTGAAGTACAGTGCATTCTATTCTTGTGCTTCTTTGGTTCATGAATTAGGTCCTTGCTATTTCTGACCCTTTCGAGCTTTGTAAACTGTATTCAATATTTATTTATGCTATATTTTTTGCTTCAACTTAAATCATAATAATCGATTTGGAGACACCATCCTAATCATATTTTTCTACACAAAACGCTGGAAACTTTAATGAAAACTCAAAAATTGGTCAAATGGGAAATCATCATGAAAGGCTGACAAGACAGTTGTCTGCATATTTTTTTCTCGATAATGAACGAACGCCTATACTTATGCTCTAGTCTCTTTTTTTAAAAATCTGTTAATTCTTCTGGTTCTGCTTTTTTTCGAATTGTCAAACAGTACTGTAAGCAGGACTGTTCTAATTTCAAGGATTGCACTTTTAAGGACATTTTCAATTCTGGGAAATTGTTGATGTTCGAAGACTTCGTGCTTCGAGTTAGTAATATTTTGAATGCGCATACAATAATCCCACTACTCCCCCGAACTAAGCTTCAAAGGTGCTTTTTGAATTTATGTGAGATAAAAAAATAAGACTGCAAACTATGCATCTTATGGCAAGTGGTCTTACACCATATGATGCTTTTGGAGAATTTTTGAATTGATGATTTCGTAGAATTTTTAGCATTCTAGGTATCGATGAGCTAAAAATTTTTGGAAAATTGTCTCGGCGCTGGAATTGACGAAAAAGATCGATTAAAAAAACTTGTAACGTCATACTCTGATTACTAGCAAAAATCCTACAAAAAACCATATCTCATATCCATCTACCCTTTTTGTAAGATCTGCTTCCCCTTTCTTCCCCACGTCTACATTGGCACTGCTATTGAAAAGGAAGCCATTTCTTAGCTTTCCTAAACCTTGAAGTGGTACTTTAACTCTAGCTCATTAGTCAGAAATGGATCCATGCAGTCTTCATTTTTTTTTCGTCAAGAAAAGTCTTTCGACTAGAAGCTTGCACTTGTATCCGTTTGCGTCTTCTGCTATTCATAAATAGAAGACGGGGTCGGAGAAGAAGGCTTGCCTGCACTTTGGAATTTTAGTAGCATTTTTAGTTGTTTTGCAAGTTTCTAGCGACTTTTCTTTCTATTCTCTTCTTTTCTGTTTTGAGATCACATGCTCAATTTAATCGCGGACCTATATTTCTTAGTCTGTAGTTAGGAATAATCTAGGATTTGAGGACATTTCTTGTCATCTCGCGGGACATTACAAACCAGGTCGTTTGTCTAAGCTCTGAACGGACGGAAGGGGGGGGCTGACACGGGATGATTGTAACGCTTGTAAATTGGTCCCATCGTTAATCGTTGTCAACGGGTCGGGTACTTCGGGTCGCATTGATTTTGGGACCACCCGGATCATAATTTTACAGAAAATTTTGATAATGGTGCATCACATATGTAGTTTGAAGAATATCACATTTATCTTGGTGTAGCTGCCTTATTTTTGCATTTTAAACTGCAAAAATTCTTCTTGATAATTCTTTTCCATTTTTTCCTGTTTCATCCCTTTTTCTTCCTCCTCACTTCTTGTCCCTTAATCTCTTCTTTCCAAAATTGTTCGTCTGATGTGATGATGTCAAAAAGTCACTGTCTCCACTTAGCTATTTTCGAGCCATCGCGTGACGATATAAATGGACTATTGCCTCTTTTTTGACCCCCCCCCCCCCCATCCCTCCCCCCTCCTATACTGGATCTTTTGCAAATAAAGGGATTATCCGTGAAGTTTACACAGCACAGCATTTCACACTTCTGACACTGGCTCAAACACATATGCAATTTTTGTCGCTTTAGCCCCTCTTTTTTCTTTCATTCACTATGTTTCTTTTTTGATTTTCGTATTGAATGTCAACTAGAAATCTTCATTATTCTGCAACTGAACTCTGAGTTTCACATTCCAACTTTAAACCGTATTTTTCTAAAATATTCAGCCAATTTTTACCTTAGCACCGTCAGTGTATGAGAGATTAAACCAATAAACAAGTGCAAATATAGATTGGGGCAAGTGCATACCGTCTTGAAATCTCAAAAAGAAGTAGAGTGCAGGCATTTTCCAAGGTCTACAGTTACAACAGACAATTTCGTCGTTTTTCCCTTGCAGTGGGTATAGTTGCAAGTTTTTTTTTGAGTGCTGAAATTTGAATCTTCAGAATGTAAGCTTTTAGTATTCTTCTCATAGTATGAACTTTTCATAACTGTGCCAATACCACTGGAGGTCAAAATTTTTTGACTGCACTAAAAATGAAAAACCGACTTTCTCTCAAATATGCTGGACCAAAAATTCATCAAGGTTTTGAAAATTGACAAAAGTAGACCCTTTTTCTGGCTGATTGAAAATTTCATCTGAACGCATGTTTAAAATATCATTTAATCCGCATTCTCCTTGAACTCTGCATGTCAAAATTATTTGATCCAAGCCATTTATTTTTATTAAATTTTGAAACAACTTGATGGCTTTACAGCTTGGCCCTATGAAATGCTATGCCCTAAAACCAGGAAAAATGTCTTGCGATCGTTTAATTTTTATGATTTTCACTCACTAACGCATAAAATTTCTTGTTGATCCCCGCTGCTCTTATTGTGTTCAGTTCCCTTTTCTTCAGATCAAAATCTAAACTATGTAGAGCGGGGTGGAGGGGGGGAGGGAGTAGAGAAAGGGGAAGTGAACTTGTTATCAGAGGTGATGCACATTCAACTGCAGAAATGTTTTCTTCTCAATCTTGAGTGCTTTTTATTAACTTCTTACCCCCCCCCCTCCTCCCTCTCCTCCCGTTCTTCCTTTTGCCTTCTTAGATTCTCTTTCTTTATGCCCTACCTTGATATTGAAGTATAGTCAAATTTCCCAACTCTTGAGTTTTTGGGATATGATTCAATTTAATCCCATTCTTCCCTCTTTCCGCTATTTCTTCCAGATTTCTTGTTTCTAAAATGTTTTTTCCATGAACTCATTTTATTTCGTTGCCTTCTTAGCGCAATTTCTTGTTTTGAGAATTTTTTTCTTGCAAAAAATACTCAAGAAAAAGTTTTCAGATTATATGAATGGACGATAGCGAAACGTCTGTAACGGACTTGTCCGTTTCGCCCGAATCGGCTGCAATAGCTGTTGGCGGTGGTGGAGTGGGTGGTGTGCAGATATGTCCGGCACTTATGCTTGGAAGCTCTCAGGTGGGAACTTTTTGCATAATTTTGCAGCAAAATGCCCGTTTATTTGTAGAACTTTCTCACTGCTTAGTGAAATCTGAATATTCAAATTTAGGCCCTTCCTGGAGCTGCCAAACACATCTATAGCCGATTAGCAGCTAATGCTGCCGAAGTAGATGAAGGCATGCCTAGTCTCATTATAAGCCTGGTTTCTCATGGAAATCAGCTTTCAGAAAAGGTTTTTATTGATTTTTTCTCTTTCTCTGTTCTTATAGTATAATCAATTTCTACAGTACCTCTCTCGCTTTCAAGCAGCAATCAGCGTTTTGATCTCCGGTGGCGGTCTATGGTTGGTTTCTTCCGGAGAACATCATGACCCTCTGGCAAGAACAGCTAGTAGCGCCATGCGTGCGGTCCTACCACAGGTAACGTAGCCAATTCTGTAAAATATGCTCGGACTACTAATGAGCATTGTCCAAGCAAAATTCGAATTTCATCCAGTACCGTATTTGAGGCGCTAATGACTGGGCAGAGTACGGTAGTGGGCGAGAGTTCAGCGTTTGACTTCTCGGCCACAAATGAATCTCATGCCACTTGATCGATGGCTTAGTTAGAGCCTTCCAACAGTTTCCAAAACTCACCGAAGTGATTTTCATAGTATTAATATCCACTAAATTTGACTGGAAAACCTCTTCAAAGGCAGTCCGGGTAAAATCTATGCCACTCTTATTAGCAGCTAGTTTAATAGTGGGCCCAGGAAAGGCCCTCTGCTTGATTCGGTCCTCCAGTGGTGGCCGTTAAATGTAGAAAAGGTTTTGGAACCCGCACAAGTGCTATCAAGCCACTGCTGTTCGATTAAGCTCCGCCTACATAGGGATGAAAGTTGCCTGCGATTTCAGGAAGGCTCCTAGAAACCTGGTTTTTACGGTTTCGCACCTTTTGCACTTCATCTGTAATCATGACCATGGGAACCAGAATGGCAAAAACATGGAAGGCCAAATTTTGGATGAAGCTGCCTTTAAGTGTAGTTTTTATTTTCAGATAGAGCGTGATGTAGAAGTTTTGCATGTGATAGTGAACTCCATAGCTGTGACGGCCCGTGAAGAAGGCCGTATGATGGTCGATGCCTCTTTGAATACCCTGCTGATTCTATCGAGAAATACAGAACCAGGCGAAGAACCTTTATTCCGAGCAAATGCTGTTGTAAGATTAGCGCATCCGCCTCCGGGTAAGCGATACCAGCTGATAGTTTTTCCATTTTCAATTTTTACACTATTTTCTAGTTAATAGAAGCAAGAACAAAAATTTGGACATCCCTAGATCAAAGTTTGCTTTTCAGCCCTCCTTATCGGTGTCCCATCAGAGAACATCGCATCTGGAAACAACATAACCGGTACAGCTCCGCCCATCTTGTTGTCACCATCCAATGACAGGCGGCCATTACCAGCTGTTGTCTTTGCAGGTCATCTCAGCTCTTTTTTTATTTACCATCAGGTCTCAATCTGTAATTATTTACCAATGGTATATCCTGGATATCTGATATCAAAGTGCATATTTTGGGTTGGGCTGAAAACTTTGGAAGAGAATTCATATTAGTCTTGTAAAAATTCCTTAATGATGTGAGCTATGATTTCTCCAAATATTCGGAACAGTTGTCGCTAAATGTTTGGAGCATTTCAACAATTCTCTTGAAATATCTCCTGAAACTTCACCCCCCCCCCCCTCCCTCCCCTCACCTGGAAGTAATGGGACTGACATTGCTCTCAAGTACTTCTCATTTTACTCTAGCTTCTTTAGTCTGCCCTTTGCTCTCTTTCTCCCTCTCTCTCTCTCTCTCTCTCTCTCTCTCTCTCTCTCTCTCTCTCTCTCTCGGTCTCTTTCTCCCATTTTTGGAAATTTCATCTTTTTTAGGCGCCTCGCTGACAGCACTACAAGAACTCCTTGTCTATGTTGAGAATGGGTTCCCAGTCATAGTCCTTCAGGTTTGGACTTTTTATTTAGACCTCGCTCTATAATTCCTAGATTCACTATATTTAGGACAGTTGCGAACTATGCGTGGTGCTGCATAATGCTTATTTGCTCTATCGTTCACCACAGTTTGATCATGCAAAGTTCGTTAGTTGGCTTGAAGAACAGCTGGATGCTGTGGTTACGGAGGACGTGGCACAAACCTCAGAGATTGTCGTGAAAATTTTCGCAACTGCATTTGGAGACAATCAGCTGATTGAATTCTTGGACAGCGATGAGGTAAGCATTCATTATAAGATCCGAAAAAATTTCATCATTCTTTGTAAAAATTATTAACTGAGGCCTACTTGAAAGGATGAGATCTGTCAGAATCAAGGGGTAGCTGGACCCTTGCCTGAAGGTGTAGCGGTGTTACGGTGTGTCGAACATAGTGATTATATATGTTTATTAGTAATGATACAAAAGCTAGACAGAATAGGTATGGGGGAAGGGGAAGGAGTGTGTGTGTGTTGAAGGTCTCCAGTCCTCTCTTATATGCAAGTCCGTTCTACAACATCAACGGCGGCTGGAGTCGGGATGAAACATTGCATAACAACTAATGATGTCACTCAATATTATCTAATGTTATGCAGTCTGATGAAATGATCTTCTGACATCTCCGCTCCTACAGAAAGCTCATCCTCGAGCGTCTTAACAGGCTGGTTGAAATTCTGATAGTAGTTTTCGTTGAGCTAGCGAATTGAACATAGTGAAGGGGGGATTAAGTGAGCTGTTGGCGCAGCTACGACCTTTTCCTCTCCTCCGGGTGGTTTAGATAGCTCGTCCTCGAGAGGGAAGAGTAAGGATGATGAAGACGATAATTGGTTGGTTTTGAAATCGTCGTTGTTGTAAGTTTGAGAGGATGGGATGGCGTGTATGTAGAAGGGGTGGGAGGGTGGCGATATAGTGTTGAGGTGACATTGAAAATCATTGTGCAAATTATATATTGACATTATGACTAAGTTGAAAACTGTAAGGTAATAATACAGCGATTATGTAGTAACTTAAGGAGGTTTATAGAAATGAAATGGAAATAAAATGATTATTACATGGTGTACAGCATTAAGTTACAGACGAAGTTATGCTACTTTTGGATTATGAAGGGGCTAGTTTATACTAGTACATTAGTGTAAAACTAGGACGAAATTTCGTATTGTTAAAGTTAATAGTGATTGTGGTTGTTTTTAGAGCTGGTTAATAGCGAGAAAGTTTGTTCAACTTCCTGGAGTCGTCGGTTCAAGGAAGTTTTGATTGTTGAAGCGGCGATGTGCGGAAAAGTAGAAAGAAGATTTGAAACATATCAATTGTTAGTGAAAAGGAATTCTTTCCACTATTAAAGTTCTTCAGAGTCTGTGCTGTCGGTCTCAAGATCCTGACTGTGAAGCTGTAAACTTGTAGGGCGATTAAGGGGTTGTAAATTTGCTCGGTGGTTCACACTGTTCACCAACACCAACCACTTGACCACTTTATTGTCGGAAACCTCAAACTTGGGTAATTAAACCCTGTCTTTCACCAATATTTTATGATAAAAAATACGACGGCGCAATATAACAAATAACATACAGCTACTACACTAGTGAAAGCTCGATCTATCATTTTCTTTGGCGCATCTCAAAATTGACTTTCAACATATTGCTTTAGCTAATTGAGTATTTTGTCAAAGGCGTACTAGAAGCTTAGTCCTAGGAATTTTTCATACTGGCGCGCAAAGGACTAAGCTTCCAAGATGTTCTTTTTTAGGCGGCATAAAAGGCGTAGTTTCCAAAATACGATAAGGCGCAATACTCTATCAAAAAAGATGCATTCCCAAAATACAATAAGGCGCAATTCTATCAAAAATGATCAAGAGAAAACGTGATGCAGGATGATGCCGTCGGACGGCTTGAAGTTGTTGCACTGATCTCGATATCTTGAATCTCATCACCGCTCCAAGTTGTTGACGTGACGATGGCGCATTAAATTCTGTAAAAGATCAGCTCGATGATATCGCAGTTTGGGAAACGGAAACTGTAACTTGCAGCTCGCGCTTTGTAGCCGCGATATGTTGCTCATCATCTTCTGATGTTTCTAGTATCTGCGTTGATGGAGTGGTTGGGGTTGTTTTGGAAACATTAGCCGATGGGAAGCGGGAACAATAAATTTTGAGTCTGTTTATGTGTACTGTCTGAGTGAATCTGTAGCCAATCAAACTTTGAATGGTAATGTTGGGACGATCAATCTTTGTTACTAGAAAGGGGCCTTTCCATGGAATGGTAAATTTTGGGCGTATCCTTTCATCGTGTAAGAGTACGAGGTCTCCAACAGAAATCTCTTCTGAGAAAACCTTATGCTGAAAATCATATTCTGCTTTGTATAATGCAGTTTTGTTTGCAATCTGGTTTCCAACGTTTGTGATTGTAGTTTGCAAAGCTGTTGTGAGTTGATCAGCAAAGCTGTCCGAAGCGTAGGAATTTCGGGTTGGAAGTAGATGGATAACATCGCCCCATGTGATAGGGTGACGTCCGTAAGCGACGAAGTATGGGCTATATCCTGTAGTGTCATTAATGCTAGTATTGTATGCAAATACGATGGGTTGAAGGAAATCACACCACATGTCGCATGCTTCGGAGCAGTATGCGGTTAAAGGCAGTGGACAGGCAGAATGGACCCCCGTCCGATTTCGGTAGCGTTGGGTAGTAGACCCCTCAAGTACACCGTAGCCCCTACCCTACCCTCCAAATTATGCACTGAGACCTGTAATGAAGCTTCAAAACTCCACCAGCCCCGCCCACTTCCATTGAGTGGGCGGGGCTGGTGGAAGTTTGAAGCGGCTTTTCGGGACTTAGCGCATGAATTGGAGGATGGAGTTGGGGCTACGGTGTACTTGAGGGGTCTACTACCCAACACTACCAAAATCGGACGGGGGTCCATTCTGCCTGTCCACCGCCTTTAATGAATCGGTAATGACTTTGACTAACCTTTCAACATGGCCATTAGCTTTATGATTATAGCTAGTCGTGAAGAATTAGCGATTCCGAGTACGTGATTGAGCTGAGCAAAAATTTCGCGGTGTAGTTAGATCCGCGATCGGAAACTATTTTGCGCGACAACTCACCGCAGCGCCATACTTATGCGAATAAATCACTGCTTTTCGCGTTCAGCGCTACCACAGTAGCGATAAATTTTCGCGGACGCGGAGCCACATGTGGTAGCACGCGAAAATATTTTGCCACGTCACCACTTCCATTACACCATACTGCCAACCAACCAACCCCAAAATAATTAGACAGCTGTGCCACTCATTAGTAACCTACCGTGAACAATTGCGTAACTCTCAGAAACTATTGACATCATTACTCAAGCTTCGAACACATGGCCGTGAACACACGAAATATTTGGACGAACACTCATAATTAATGACCAGATTCCTCCAGACAAATTACTAGCTATGCACATTTCTTCCCGAAACTCTACACAACCAACAATCAAATTCAATAAGAACAAATTGCCTGCTTCGCTTAGAATAAATCAAAACAATACACCTTCACAAAATTCCTTTATTGAACAATACATTCACACATCTACAACTAATTATAAAGTATTGCCAAACATCGATCATTTTAGTACATATTAAAGCCGGCCACGTTTCTTACTAAGTCGAGCAGTTAGGCCATTATCGGCCACATTAACTAGTAATAGTGAGTTGGTGGTACCTCTTGCAAGCGTATCCACGATACCATTTTCCGTAAATACCAAATCGCCGAAATGTAGAATTATGAAGGTCCTATCCGCCTTCCAATTTGCTCCATTTATACACATTGAACTGCTCACTATGCGCACTATGTAGAACACCTATAATAAAATAAATTACCATGACTGATAAAGAAAATTTTTCTCTAACTTACAGGAGAGCGTAACATGGTCACCATCATTATTTAAAATCATGATGGCAACATGAATCGTGTCGCTCGATTGGATTTTCAACCAGGTCTCTTGCACCTCCCCCCTAATCAAAGAAGATAATAGATCTCTTCTTCATAGAGCGCCTCCTCCAGTAGTGTTTGAAGTTGACGTACCAGCTCTTCGCTGTACAAGAATAGACGCCTAACGTTATGCAGATCCTCGTTCAACTCGAGAACCTCCTGAAAAACAAACGCTTATATACAGCATCACACTTCCTTAACATTACCTTATTCAAATTCATGTTCCTCCTACGTTCCACAATTCTGGCCGTTTCAGCGGCCTCCGTTTCACGCATATTTTTGGCAACTAATATTCTAAAGTGCACTTGGCACTCCTTGTAATTTTTCTGAAGTTCGGCACACTTTGAACACGGTGGTAGGCGCTCCGCACTCAGTTCCTCGATCTCACGCCTGACGATTTCCAAATCAACTGTCGCTCTGGCTAAGTCAGCCTCTAACTTCCCTGCCCAAGACTAAAAAAAATAAAATAAAATTATTTTTTATAACTAATTAAGCCAAACTCACGATCCAATCTCTCCGGGACCTCCAAGTAAGGATCAAGAGGTAGCTGGACCTTTGCCTGAAGGTGTAGCGGTGTTACGGTGTGTCGAACATAGTGATTATATATGTTCATTACTAAAGATACAAAAGCTAGACAGAAGAGGTATGGGGAAGGGGAAGGGGTGTGTGTGTGTTGAGGGTCTCCAGTCCTCTCTTACATGCAAGTCCGTCTTACAACATCAACGGCGGCTGGAGTCGGGATGAAACATTGCATAACAACTAATGATGTCACCCGAATTATCTAATGTTATGCAGTCTGATGAAATGATCTTCTGACAGATCCGTAACTATTTGACCTCACACAGATAATGGACCTCATTGGCACTCATTTTGAGAAACTCAAAAAATTGATATCGCAAGTATATGAAGAACATATGAAGAATAAAATAATCAAAAATTTGTACTGGGATGAAGCAGCACAAATCGATGAGAAATGATGGCAAACCCCACTCCTTTAACATACTCCGCCCTCGAACACAAGAATGACAAGCATGGAAGGCAAACCACGCACCTTTAACGTTGCCCTCAAATACAAGATTGATAGACAAGAAAAGCGAACCCCGCCCCTTCAACTACTCCGCCCTCGAACACAAAATTGACAGATATGAAAGCACGATCATTTAGTTCATACTTTGAATTCCTGCAATATCAAGTTTAAGATGTTTCTGTCCGAAGTCTATATTTCTCGATTATTTATTAAAAATATTTACAAGCCTTTTCAGATGCCCGCACTCGCTTCGCGAATCATTGAGCTTTGTCTTCAATGTCACAGCGGTGCTATGGAAGCGCGACAACTGCTACAACTCTCCGCCCACATTAATGAGCCAGCTATCTTGAATGAAGTCGATTTGGATGATATTCTTGATGATGAAGTAAGTTCACCTTAAGCTAGAGCTCGGGAAAACCCAGGAAATTCGTTTTTCAGCTCATGACTGCGATACTGTGCGAAACAATAGCTGTAGAGGATCGTGTCACATTTCTGGCAGCTGTACTTGAACGGAGGCCACAGATTTTCGTTAGCCCTGAGATGCTGATGAAGTTGGCGAAGAACTGCGATCAGGTCGGAAATGAGCAATTTTTATGATTTACAAAATTGGATTGGGTTGAATTTCCACTATCTGCCATCTTGATAAAAATCTCATTAAAAATTTTACTTATCGTAACGCCTATCATATTCAATCAAAATGCAAATTTTAGCCTGTAAGGCAAATTGTCTACATTTTTCCAGCACTTTTTCACAACCATAGTGCTTTGCCAATGTATGGGATACTCTTCCTTTCCTGACGACATCGACGACCATTTTATCAGCGATTTGAATTGCTTGCTGGTAAACCCACTAAGAAATGCCGTACTCGTGCTAAAAAATCTAATAATTCTAATGTTCAGAAGCGCTTATCGTTCGGGGTCGATGAGCTGATCCCAGCCTCAGCATTGAGCATGGATTTCATGCATAATCGAGATCCAGCGGATGCGATCAGGGTGTTGGCGGTGAGTTGATTTGGTTCAAAATACTTTTCCTCTATTCTTTTCCTCGATTCCGACTGCAACCAAAGACACATGCATTGAAAAATTCAGAATACCAGCTGTCATTGATTTAAAAAAAATTGATTGAGCTGCCATATCAATAAAAACTACCTTTTATAACTATTCTTGCTGAAATACAGTACCGCTCAAAGAATGTGCAAAATTTCCGTGATTGTCCGTGAATTCCGGGAACTCCTCGGAGGTCCGTGACACTCTCGGAATTCCGCGACATTCACGGGTTTTGCACATTCTGTGAGCGGCATTTATGCATATTTCCACAAATATTCATATTCGTTATACTGTGCTAAGGCAAACAGTATAGGGATACGGTAAGCATACGGTCGGAGGTCATGCGGCATAATTATTGCGTATGAAGATCTTTGCAGAATTACAAAGCAACAACGAATAGCACTCTTTTCCTGTTAGGGACAAATCTTGAATTTTTGCCTGCAGTGACCGTATGAATTTTTAGTCTTTCTGTTTTTAAAAGAGTTCAAAGGTACATTTAGAAGAAAAAAGCAGTATGAATAAAAAATGTTTACCATGCAGGACTTCAAAACAAAAAAACGGTAATTTGTTGCAGACGTTTTTGAAAACTGAAAGGAAGTATTGCAAAACAAAGAAGTGAAATACCGTTTCCAGATTTGGTGTCTTCTGTTACATCGGCCTGAAGTTGTACGATGTCTCTGCGCATTTTCGGACCAACCCGTAGCTTTTGCCCTGGTGCTTTCAAGACTGGCGAAATCGTTAGCCCATGAGGTTCGTTCGTCCTTGCTCAAAATTTTATGTTCAATAAATATAGTGTTTTAGTCTCATGACTGGTTCTTCTATGAAGAATCTTTGCTAAAACTAGCCAATTCGCTTTCGAGTTCGGCCGTTTCCTTGGTGGACAAAGTACATCGCACGTCGCCAAATAAGGCTTATCACCTGCTATGTCAACCTTTGGAGGGTTTCCATGGTGCAACTTTGTCACAGCTTGCATTTCAGGTGAGATTGAAAGCGTTGGAAAGGTGATGGCAAAATGTAAACTCGATTTTTTATATGGAGGTTGATGAAGGAGTTTTAGCTTAGCAGTTGCCCAAGCGGCAGCTCGTATGGTCCAAACATGGCCAAGAAATCCAAGTCCAAGCTCTCGCCCAGATCGCACTCCTCTTGAGCGGAACTCTTTGGGTACTGTAGTTTGGGCGAGATTTCAGAGTTGGATTTCTTGGCTACTAATGAGTTGAGCTGCCATCCGAGGCTTAGCTAAGGGTCCATATTGATGACCTTATAAAAAATCTAGTTTGCTATACACTGCTCCAAAATGGCTGAATGATGGTTGCTTATGGGTTCGTTTACAGTTCAACATTCGCGGACTCGTTGCTCATGAGTCGTGTCAGCGATGGGTGCATCGATTACTGTATGGGCAATTGCAAACTTGTTCATCGACAATAATGCCAAGATGGTTGAAAACTCTTTTAGCAGGCAAGGTCGTACGTCACACTCGTAGCTTCCGGTTCAGTTACCCATTTTCAGCCGTGTTTGTTATTCCCATCCGGTGGTGGATGTGCGTTCGATCCAATTATACCATGCACCCTGGTAATGAGAAGAAATCCCCTACAGCAGCTTTACTCGATATGGGTCGACAGCCAAAACGAGCTCGAGCCATTTCTACTTATAGGTATTGTAATAACTCCTGTAATTTTAATTACGGGGCTGAGTTTTTCAAATGCTATAAGTTTGGTATCTGATTTTACAAAAAAAAAATTCAGAACGAATTTTGTAAAATTGATTGCCATCGGTCGGACTTCCGCAAATTTTCAATAAAGCTAATGGAACTTTAACGCTGTAAAAAATATCGAAACCCGTCAAAGGCGGACACAATGCAGGGGGGGGGGAAAGTAGGCCCTTTTGAACAACATATGGCGTTACTCCCTATTGGGACCCTCTAAACCTGCTTTTTCAGTGTGATCTCTGGCCGAAGCGATATGCTTAGCGCAGTCGCGGCAGGACATTCCATACCTCAGCTGGCTCTAACAGAGTCAGCAACACCTCAGTCTATGGTTTTCCCATTAAATATCGAAGATGTAGACGGAGAGGACGCTGTCTTTACTAAAAAGGTGCTACCCCTCTATTCCAAAGGTTTTTGCCCTTTTGTACATAAATTTTTTTAGCCGCGAATAAGTCGTCGAGCTCCACCGTCATTATGCTTATTTTATTCTACACCGATTGTAAAATATTGGCTTTCTTTGATCTTTCGACTACTCCACATAGCTTTATTGGCGTATTCAGTAAGTCAAAAGTTCTCAACGTTATTTTTACTCCCGTTTCCACTATATTCAGGTTTTATTGCCCGGATGTGGGAACCTAACCCTCGATGCTATTGTTTGGATGTGGACTTTCATAGCATGGATTGAAGCCGTATGGGTACTCAACATGCGAAATCATTACACGCCACTGTCTTTGATGCCATGGAGGGTAAGCATAATACTCTAATACAGCACAATACTCTACTGAATATCCATCTTACAGTAATCTTTGCGCGCTATGTTAGGTGCACTATAGGTGGTAATTTCCTCAGTCATGTGTATAATTCTGAAATAATCTGGAATTTTCGAATACCAAGTGGCAGGCAGTTACTAACGCGCAGTCGACAGCACGTAGATACATCTGAATGCGCGCGCAACCGCGACGCAGCCTCTTCATTGTCCCATATGTAAGACTATAGCAGTAAACTGGCAAGTTGCGCGTTCCTGAAGAAAGCATAAATCCCCAGTTTAATGAAAACGCTTGTTTTTGATTACCCTGAATCTATAAAATAAAGAAAAAACGTTAAACATCAGTTTTTCGCCCGTCAAAATGCTCGGTTCTGAAATGTTTTTTGCGTTTAAATCTCAGACAAATGACCGGAACTTCCGCAGAACGCTTGCGGAAGTTTCGTAAACGTGCTGCGGAAGTTCCGAAGTGAGGTCCTGCGGAAGTTCCGAAGAATGCCAGCTGCAACAGCAAAAGAGAACACCGAAACGAGATTTGAACTTCACTCTATTGACTGTGAGACCCACCTATCACCTACTATCCTCTACGCTAGGGCTGACATGTTCGATAATGCACTCTAGTGTTGGTGAGGCAACATCACGAGACAGCACATTTAAAGTCCTGCGGGAGTTCTGGCAGGTCAAAGTGCTGCGGAACCTCTGGCATTTTTCGGAATTTTCGCAGGGTTTTGAAGAAGGTTCTGCGAAAGTTCCGGGTTTCAACCAGTCTGGCATGGAAATCCCGCGGAATTTCCGATTTCTGACGTTTTCATTTTTGCAATAGTGAACAAAGTCCTGCAGAACTTCTGCAGATTTGGCTTGTCCTGCGAAAGTTCCGGTGATTTGTCTGAGATACTGAAAAAAATATTTTTCAAAAATCATTTCAGTCAGTAATCCAATAAATTCAAGCTAGATAAAATGCGTTTATTGAGCTATTCCCATGTTCAAATTTCCGAAATAATCTACATAAACAGAAAGTCTCATTTTATGCCATTTCTACCGTCAAGAAAGCTTTCATGACATGCAATTTGTTTTTGCTTTCGATATATGAGGACTAAATTTTTTTTCAAATATAAGCTTAGCCATATTTGGAAGATGTGCCTCTTTTCTTTTGCATCTACCCATAGCTCGAACCTATCTATTCCTTACTTTTTAGGTTTTTGACTGTGTTGTGACACTGATCTTTCTTGTTGCTATGCTGCTTTTCAAATTCGTCGGTGATAGCCCAATTTCGGATTTTTTCGTAAGTTCACAGAAATATTATTCAAATGACCTTATTTTAGTCAAGGCTTGCCTTTTCAGATGCTTTCAAACGTCTACCCCATTCGTGTGTTTTCTGCATTCTTTCTGCTCTACTGGTGCTATGCGACAATATTCTTCTACATTCCATTATCAGAATTATTTGGTCCCATCGTCGTCAGGGTCAAGCTGATGATACTCAGAGATTTCACAAACTTTCTCATTTTAGTCGCTTTAGTCATGTCAAGGTGGGTTAGAGTCTACTCCTGTACGAAGGCGGATGGTTTATAGTCGCGAAGCGGATGCGAACGCGGGTTATGTGCATCTATCGTCGTGGGCGCCATGTTGCAGGCAAAGAACGATAGGATCGCGCGTCGCGTTTGCGTGCGCTTACTTGTCCATCTGCCTTCACGCGGAAATAGACTTTGAAAGTTAGAAAAACCTCGTGAAAATTTTAATGGATTTTTTTCAGTAGTGCCGCGGCCATACATGCCGTATTGTATCCAGATCGAGATATATCCATATCAGTCGCTAAAGCTTCTTTGTCATGGGTTTGGCTGTCACTTTTCACTACTGACCTTTCAAGTGAGCTTACCTAAAAAATAGAAAAAATTCTCAACTTTATTTTGTATAGGCCTGCGCGAGTCGGATTCCTGCAAAAAATCGTTCTTGGGCTCTTCATCGTCATACTGTAATTATGTCGGGGAGTACGGTAACACATCGTGTCCGTCACAGTCGGCAGCAAGTTATCTCGTTGTATTGGAGTATTTTGTTCTCCTAAAGGTAATTTTTTTTTGCGAGAGATAATGTGCACTGAAATTGCGGGCCAAAGCAAAGAAGGATAGAACAGACTTGATATAAAACAATGAATTTGATCATTTGAATAAAAAATCGATTTCGTTCAAACTAAATGCGAGACGCACGCAGATGCGAGCGATTATTGATTGTTCACCGCGCGGCGTTTCAATTGCGGCCGTTCGCCCGCCCTTGCATGCGCCGTGTGCTTATTCGCACTGCAACCATTTCTTACTGCTAAGGCAATAATGTGAGTCAAAAATTACCAGATGATTTTTTTTAGCTGATCCTCTGGCCGGTTTTATTTGCATTTTTCGCGAAAACTGCTAAATCTGTAGATGACGAAGCCGACAAAATCTGGAAGTTCCAGATGTACTCGCTTGTCACGGAATTTAGGTAAATCTTCATTTCCACTTGTACCCATTTGAAATATTGATTTTTTAGTCTTCGACCCCCGCTACCTCCACCACTCACGCCACTATTCTTCTTCTGCATGGCCTGTTGTCGTGCTGGAGGTCAACTTGGCGGAATGATGTCAAGCTTCCCGGACCACCCAGACGTAGATCACAAAGATCGGTAGGTTCTCCTGCACAGGCATCATACGCATCAATCCCTTTTTATAGAAATCGTCAAGTGCTTAGTTCTAGAGGTCGATCTACAGTAAGATTCGGCTCTGTCTACCGTAATCCTTCGGTGCCAGCTAAGAAAAATGAGTTTGTGAACTCATTTTGGCGTCAGCTGATGATAGAGCGTTGGAAGGAGGAGCAGCGACCGAATCAGCAAAATATTTGCGGAAATGCGGAGGTGAAGACGGTGCAAATACAATTGCGAATGCTCGCCTTGAATAATTCCTATGCTGCAAGTGAACGTAGAAGCAAATATGAGGTAAGTTCAGAGCTTTTCATTGGCCAATATTTTTTGGTAAAAAATTGAGGTTTTTCAGGTTCATCTCGTACAATACGCGGACACAGAGATGAAGCGGCTAGCGGTCCCACCAGCTGAAAGACCTTGGAATGTAAGTTTAATCCTCATTACTTGGGAAAATATTGTTTTTTTGAAGAAAAATCAGTAAAATCGTATGATCAGCAGTTTTTGTGGTATCTCTACGGTGCCGACAACATTAGCGCGTGAACGGTTGCGAGATGCAAAGCTTGGAAAAGTGTGCTCTGTGGTCATTTTTACTCGCTATTGTGTAGGCATCGCAGGATTACATTCACTAGTTGACCGTCTTGTGAACTATTGCAGATATGTGGAATCCCTTATAATCCACTAGATGACGATTAATGTAATACTTCTGCGGTATCGACACGTTTGCGCGTAAAAAATAGCGCTGGTTCCCAAAACACGCGCCATATCTCCCCATTTTTTACGCGCAGTTGTTGTAGGCACCGCAGGGGCACTATGCAAACCCTACGTAGACAATTGCAGATCCTTCTTCCACGATATGCACCTCCATTCTATTGCCGTCCAGCAGAGGAATTCCCAGCAGATTCCGCAAAGCATGTGGAAATTGCAACCGAGCAGGTTTGTGACTACACGTGAACCTTACTTCTTGTAAAAATAATTGTTCATATTTCGCGCCAAAAACCTAGGCAATTTTTTCTAATATACAACAATTTGTCTAGAACGTAGCAGAACTACGGCGACTTTGGCGGTCACGTCAAGCAACGGATCCCGGTAAAGGATGGATGCTTTCAGCTGCTGGTTATCCGCTGAATCCGCATGGAAGACGAGGTAGCTGTTTTTTATTTATATTTTTGAAATAAAACCTACATTCTTTCCAGGCATTGCTGGACGTGGATGCCATCCGCGGTTTGGAGCGAATATTAGGTGCTACTATATTATTCTGACAGGAACCTCAAAGTCTGATTGCAAGGTCTGTCACCTGCATTATCACGCATCCAAAGCAACCACATTTTTTCCACGAATGAGGGGGGGAGCGGGAAGAAATCAAGACGGGGGGACGGGGGGGGGGGGAGAGAGAGGGAGGGAAAGGGAGGGATTAGAGGAAGACAGGAGGTTTTTTTTCATCAAGCGTACAGCCCTTACTATCCAAAAACTGTCCCTTACTGTACCGAAAAAAAAACAGGAAACTCGAAAAATTTTGTTACCACCCCCCCGCGCTTCTGTGCCTGTCGTTACCTCACCGTCCTCTTGCAGATCCTTTTGGATGCTCACCATAATCTTCCTAATGAACCACATCCCGAAAGCGGCTCCAGGGATGAACATTTAGCGTCGTTGTTGAGGACGATAGGTTTGCCTGAGTCAGATGCACAAGTATGTTATATCTATCAATCTTTGATCCAACTGGCTTGGCGGCTGGAAGGCGGGGCTTTGTAACCTTATAAAGCCCGCTCGCGCCCTCCCGCGCGTGCTTTCTGATCACCATTCAGCCTTACTTAGGTCACTAAGCCCGCCTTCTAGCCGCCAAGCCAGTTGAATCAAAGGGTACTTCTGAGAACACTGTTATACCATGAAGTTCTAATATGGAGATTTTGACAGGTATTCTCGATGAGACGCCTGGACTCATCCATTATCGACTCTACGGAAAAAGTACCAACTACTGACACAAGTCCTACTCATATTGCCAGATTGGCTGTGGAGCATGGGATTGACACGGATCATGCTTGGACTGAACATGACTTGTGGGCAATTTCACTGAGGTGCGCTTTGAAATCTGTTAATGTAGAACACGGTCCAAATACTGATCATCATTTGATCATACAAGGAGTACTTCATAAATTCTGCACTTTCTTAAGTCGTTAGCTTTCGCAAGCCCTTGCATTGTATTGGGTTGAAAAAAAAGGATGTTGCCTTTTTGGCTTTCATCAGCTAATTTTTGTATTTCACAGGAATTATAGGCATCTACAAAGCCGAAGTTTTATGATCAAAGTTTCGAGACTCTGTATGCAATGCCCAGGACTACTAAGGGCGAAGTTTGCCATTTTTTGTTTTTGAATTTTTCCTGATTTCTAAGCACGAAAATAAAAGCTCTCCCCAAGATGACGAGGCTTCCCTAGCCCTGGAGGAAAAGACTCTTCTTAAAGTAAACTGTATAAGAGTTCACGAATGATCGCCAAACTCGACGGATCTAAGGTCCAACAACAAAAATCAGACAAGTCATTTGAATGAATGTTCCGTGTTGTCCGCGTCCACAAATGATTATAGACGACACCGGCTCAAGATAGTGAATAATCCAGAAAAAAAACACGGGCAATAAATGTCAAAGAAAGAAAAGCCACATATGTGAGAAAATCAACTTCACGAGTCTCGTCAAAAGTTCAACGACAAATTACTACTTTAAAACAAACAAGACAGCAGCTTCAAACTGGAATTCGAAAAATGTCATCTATTTGATAATATGTCTCACATGTACATTGCAGTATGTTTGGGAGACAAAGCAAACATTAAGAACGAGGATTAATCAGAGTAAAAATAGTTTAAGAAAAGGTAACTTGAATACGTTTATGGTTAAACATTTCCATAATACAGGGCACGATCAGAAAATACATGCATAGACATTTTAGATTGCGTTGAAAATGAAGAAATTACCAAGAAACATCTGAGAGATGGAGAGTTACAGTGGATACAGTACATGGTTACTGCCTATCAATTTTGTTTTAATGATCAAATCAAAGGATTCGGTAATATCTCAGATAATGTCAATCCATTGAGAAAGCACATCCATATTTTAGATCAGTCAGTAACAAAAGATTTGGAGGAAAGAAAAGAAGGTCAAGGAAGAAAAGTGAATGTCCTGACAAAAATGAAGAAATTTTGACTAATATAAATACTTTACAGGGTAACGGAATTTTTGTTTATTTTCGAAAACTAGACAAACAAGATAGTTCAACGCTAATAGATTACACTTTCAGTCCTAATTTTTCAAATGTTATCGTTCGAACATAAATTTAAGAATATGCAGTGCTTGCTACACCATTTTGAGAAAGAAAGGATAAACTGAAAGTTAAAAGAAGAAATAATGATAACCATACCTTATTTAGGTGAAATATTGAATAAGCTCGAACTGCGCAAGATGTGTAATAGTACAAGAATGAAAAGAATTCAAGGAAAGAATCAATATACAAGACATAGAAGAAATAAACAATATCAAGGTATAAACATGATACAATTTGAGAATTATAATAATTTTCTCAAAAGGCTTAGATTCTACCATGAGGATCATAGAGAAACAAGAATGTAAATACAAAAAAGCAACGATTTTGTTGATAATCACCACAAACATGTTTGCGCGGGAAATCTGGATTTTGTACAGAACGAAAAACTGAAATCTATTTTCAAAAGAGGAATGAAGTACAGAATTCATACAGTGATTACTAAAGGCGACATTACAAAAGTTGCAAACGGTTTGAGTTTACAATTAGCAGTCAAGTACGTTCAAAAATATAAGGCCAGCTCTTTAGTTAGACTTCAACTTACAAATGAACATGTGAATTACATGTGAATTTATCAAGAAAGAAGTTTAAACGAAATTGTACAATATGTATGATCCAGAACAGATTGACAATGATGAATATGATGCAGAAATTCTCAGAAATCTACAAAGACATTTTATCATAACTCCAGTAGATGAAGCCATTTCGAATTATAGTATCACTAGATGGCAAACCCGGCTCCGCCCGGACATCGATCGATAACGAAAAGTAGCCTATGACACGCTCCCTGCCCCGAAGTATATGTGTGCCAAGTTTGGTCCGAATCGGTTCAGAAATAAAAATTTCTATTCCGCACATACGTACAGACATACAGACAGACAGACATACAGACAGACATACAGACATTCAGCTTTATATATAAGATGTACAAGAAATTCAATTTAAATGTAATGAAGAAAGAAATGGAGCAGTCTGCTTTGAACGGATATACTTACGTATCAACTAGACTAAGTGAGAAAGATGTCTTGTTGAGACACAGTAGAATTCTTAATAGTTTAACATTGTTGTAGCCTTTTACTTGTACTTGTAACTGGGTCCGGGACACTTGTAGAATACTAGATTTATTAGTAGACCGGATATGAATAAAAACAGAGGATAAGACAAGACGAACGAATGACTTAGCTAGCAGGGAACGCCTTATATAGCGCTCAGATCCCGCGCATAGGTCAATACAACACCAATAGATCAGATCGCTAAACAACAACATACAAACAATTATAGGCTGTACCACAGCATCGGTCATGCGGCGTCGCGCCTGCGGCAACTGCGACGTTGCGGTGTGACGCGTGCGGACTCTGCTACGCGCTAGGGCACGTCGCATGCGACGGTGCGTCGTCGCAAGGCATAATAGCGCGGGACCGATGCCGGTTGATACAGCCTATACAAATACAATGTTACTCTCCAACATCTCTCCCCTTAAGTTAACAGTTGTATCTCTTCTTTGACGTCGATCACGATGCGGCACGGTGGTCGATGTGTCCTTTGCGGCCGGCGGCGAATAGGCGGCGGAGACGGTAGAGTGACGGAAACGTCCACTGGTTCGGCATCAGCGGCAGCGAAATCGGAAGTTGGTGGTGTCCCATTAGCAAGAAGGACGTCTTGGGAAGCGGGAACATCAACGGAAACGGCAGGCGATGGTATAGGGGCTCGAAATCCGAAAGGTTGAATTCTCTCAACAGCGTGGTAGTGGCGTCGGGAACTGCGAGAGAACGTAGCTGGTTGGCATGGCGTCTCCATACAAATCCTTCGACATGCACGTTGTAGAGTGAGCGTCCAATCCTTGATTGTACACGTCCTGAAGTCCAAGTAGGCTTCGATGGATTACGATAGTCGCGAACGTAGACGGCATCGTAGACTTCGAATTTCCTCTTCTTGGCTCCATGTCGGCGGTTGTACATTGCTTCCATCGCCGGTTTCAATGCGGAGAAGTAGTTTGGTGTGGCACTCCGAGCGTCAGTGACCAAACGTGAGAGCGGGGTATCGATCCGTCGTCCAAGAAACATCTCGGCATTTCAGGCGAAGACGGGCAGGGAGTACAGCGGTAACATAGCAGTAGCTTCGAAAGCTTTCGGGAGGTTTCCTTCCCCTTGTAGCTTCAGAAGTCCTCTCTTGAAAATTCCGACGAAGCGTTCAGCGAGTCCATTCGACTGCGGGTGGAATGGCGGTGTCCGAACGTGTTTGATCCTGTACTTCCTGCAGAATTCTTCGAAAAACTGGGAAGAGAATAGGGTGCCGTTGTCCGAAACAAGCGTTTCTGGGAATCCAAATTGGCTGAAGATCTTCATGAGTTCCTGCGTGGTCGCTTGTGACGTAGTCGACTGCATCTCCACGATTTCAGGCCAGCGGGAATACGCATCTACGACAACGAGATACATGTGTCCATAGAGCGGTCCCGTGAAATCAACATGCAGGCGTTCCATCGGGCGACTTGCGATAGGCCATGGGGTTAATTCAGCTTTTATTGGATTCTTAGCGGCAAGTTGGCAATTCTGACAGCATTCCACAGTCTTCTTGACGTCTTCTATACCAGGCCAGTAGACGTGATTGCGAGCGAGCAGCTTCATACGGGTTTGTCCAGGATGTCCGTCGTGCAGCATATGGAGAATCTTCTTTCTCAACGAGGTGGGTACGACTACCCTGGATCCGAAGAAAATGCATCCGTTGTAAGCGGAGAGTTCCTTCTGTTTGCTTCTGTAGTTGAACAACGGCGTTCCCGGAAGTGCATTTGGCCAACGTCCCGTTTGAAGACAATTGAGCAGCTCCATAAGCATGGCGTCCTTCTCCATAGCAGAACGTACGTCTTTCACTGTAACTGGCACTGGTTGAGTGCTTCCTCGTAAGTGGCGGTGACATCAGCTTCTACAGTAGCAATAATGACGTCTTCATCCGGCGCACTCCGGCAGGAAAGCAGTCGGGAGAGAGCATCAGCCTGTCCAAACGATGTCGTAGAACAGTACTTGATATCGAAATCATAGGCAAGTAGGGTCATCGACCATCGTTGTAATCGATTGGCACTGTAGGCCGGCACTCCTTTCTTGCTCCCGAGTATAGTGAGTAGAGAGCGGTGGTCCGTGAGCAGTGTAAATCTTCGTCCATAAATGTAGCGGTGGAACTTCTTGACAGCGAAAACTAGGGCCAATCCCTCCTTCTCAATCTGCGAGTAGTTCTTCTCTGGTGCCGTCAATGCGCGACTCGCATGGCAAACGACCTTTTCCGATCCGTCCGGGTAGCGGTGAGAAATCACTGCTCCGATTCCATACTTGCTTGCGTCAGCGGCAACGATGATCGGCTTCTTGGGGTCGTAGCGGCACAGCAGAAGATCCGAGGTCAGGACTTCGCAAAGGCAGTCCTGACACTCCTTACTCCAGACAAACGGTGTGTCTTTCTTCTTCAAGACGTCCAATGGTCCGCGAAGTGAACGCATCCTTGGCACGAAAGACGAGTAAAACGAAACCATCCCAAGGTAAGATTCGAGGTGCTTCACATCTTGGAGCGGCGGAATATGAGCGATGGCTGCAATCCTCTCGGGGTCGGGGCGTCTTCCTTCGGCGTCGACAATGAATCCGAGAAATACTATGCTAGGTTTAGCAAAATAACACTCTTCACGGCGAATACGCATTCCATAGTCTTGAAGACGTTGGAATAGCTTGAAGACGTTTGCATCGTGCTCCTCACGAGTCCTTCCGGTGACCACAACATCGTCCAGA